TCTCTCTCTTTTTAAGATCTAAAGATGAGCCACCAAACAGTTGAGCATTGTCCATGTGATTTATGGCCCATAGCCTCCTTTTTAGGTTCAAGCAGAGTTCACAAGCAGTTGGTATTTCAGAAAAGAAATAAGGCTTTTAACAGCTTAACAGCAATATTCTTTCTTAAGATTCTGCGTATTCTTTTGGGAACTATATTTTACAAGGCACATAAAAGCCTACGTTCAAGGCGGTGTTGTGCTAACAAAAGTCCTCAGTCCAGACCGCTCCCGAAAATGTAGATGATAGAAGTGGAAAAATGAGGGACAGAGGTATTTTGCACAAAAATACTTTCAAGACTCGTCAAGATTATCACAGCATATTAAAACTCATCTGAATCGCCACCGTCCATTTCCACTGGCATTTTTAAACTAAAATTTTCCGAGAGAGGAAAATAGCTCTTTTCCCATTTCCATCAGCTTCGCAGATCATCCCAAGCTTTTGTTCAGGGAAGAAAAGGACCCCGGCGGTTTGTGACAGGGGATAAACCGCCGAGAGCGGCCGGGGACGGCAGCTCGCTGAGGTTATTCTGAGTTATACAGGCGTGCGTCCCGGTGAATTTTAGAGAACAAATCAGCGGTACTTGGCCGTACCACTTGCTGCAGGAGAAAGAGCAGTACTCCGGTAGTATTGCTTAAGTATAGGCTGGAGAATGGTAATAATCGGACACTGTTCAAAAATTCCTGGCTACTCTTCTCTGGTATGTTAATAGGCTTAAACCCTGAAGAAATACAATGAACTCTTAAGATACGTTGAGTTACAGACTTACATTGTCAGGTGAAGTATGTGCTAACTTACAAAATTACTAAAAATGTCGGAGAAACCCCCTATCCGACAAGAAAAATAAGAACAGGGAATACTAACAAGCCGCAACAAAATCGCGGAACACTTTCTATCTTGCAACAAGCGCAGAGAAATTTCGGGAGCAAGAGGGGGAAAGGGAACAGCACCCTGCCCCACAGCGTCTGCCCTCAGGGCGCTCCGGGCCGCCCGTGCGTTTTCGGTCTGAGCAGCCTGATCGGGCGGCCGGGGGGGCGGGGAGCGGAGCGCCGTGAGTCGGCAGGCTGGAAAAGGAAGAGAACCCCCTAAAACTCATCTCCAGCCGCTCAGGTTCTTTCTACGGGGGACAAATAAAAGGGAGGAGAAACGTTGGGTGAGGGAATTTAATTCATCACAGAATTAAAATAGGGGAGCTGACCTGCGAGTTCCTTTATAGTGCAAAGTGAAGGGAGTGAATGGCGCCGGTTACACTTTAACTCCGGAGGAATCCGGGGGAAGAAGGAGGCCGGGTTTACAAAGGGGACGGGATTTTTCTGCCTCTGCCCGGCCGCAGCCCGGGCTCAATCCATCATGTCAGCCGTGCGCTGCCGTGCGCACGCGTGCCGGGCGGGCGGGCGGGG